TCTGACTTAAAACGTCGGGGTTTAACTTAAAGAAAAACGGAAAGGGTTAGTACCATTAATGTTGTTTAATCTATAGCGACATGTTACGTCTCCGTGATTTTTTTCTGTGTTCCTATTTTAAAAAGGCGTGTACTTTCCAATACCTGAATGAGTAATAAAATTATAAATGTTTCTTTGGCGAAATATTATAAATCTTTAGAAACTTCGTAGTCTTATTTCAAAAAACGAATGCATCTCGCAATAGATGAATAAAGTAGGGAAACATGTGTGCTTTAGATAAATGGTCTTGGAAAACTCGTAAAGAAATACCAAGAAGTAGTACAACAATTTTCTGTACCATCCGTTCGACCGATACACAGATATCTCATAATTTGTTTGTATAGAATTGCGAAAGTGTGTTTACTTTCATTTATATACAATATATATATCACGAGACACGGCAGTGTCTTGCGCCAAGTGTAAGCGTAGCTATAGTACACGCGTGCGAGACCGACCGTGTAAGTTTACGCGAGTACACGAGTTGACGGGCCCTCAGATTTTCGGATCTCAACAACGGTTGATCCGACGATCACGAGACACGGTAGTGTCTCGCGCCAAGTATAAGCGACTAAGGGCCAGTTTCACAAACATCGGTTAACTGTTAACTAGGGTTCAGTCGACTCCCTATCTTTTTTCATCTTATTATTTAAGAAGAGACAGCGGATCAATTAACCTTCGGTTAGCAGTTAACCGACGTTTGTGAAACTGGCCCTAAGTATAAGCGACAAGCTAAAACCACGCGCGCGACACCGACCGTGTAGTTTACGCGTATAACTTACCCTAGCGGAAAAATTTCTATAAATAACTAAAAAAATTGATTTAAAATAGAAATTTGTATATCTTCATTGAAACATTAATTTTTTTGCAAAAATATCTACGAAATAGTACCACAAAATACAATATTCTCAAGTCAAGAAATTATTGCAAATGGTATTTCATGAAAATGTACAATTTTGTAAAAATTAGTACAAAACATTACTAGTTTCAGAAAATTTGAGAAACAACAAATCTTAAAGAATTAAATCATCGATCTGTTTACTTGTAGAATATTACAAAAATTAACAAAAGTGTTCCAATTCTAGCATTTTTATGTTAATTTTTATAACACTTTAAATTTTCGTAGAATTTCTTAGATTCTGACAGTTATATTTTAGTTTTGGCAGTATATTTTTTTGTAAAATTTTGTAGAATTATTTCCAGCAGGGTAGTCATTTTTTCCAGGCTGTTTTTTATAGAATATTTAAGGGAAAGAGACAGAAAATAACTTTACTATCAAATGCGAATATATAGCCTCTGTGCCGAACACCTTCGATATCGGTCGAAAAATCGACGCGGTTTATCGCGCCGTCCATTAATCAAAGATCCAACTTCCGCGCGAGTGAGTCCTACGCCGTATGAGAAGAGCTACAGGAGGAATAGATACCAGGTATAATAAAAGATCGTTCTGCCAGATGGCCCGTGCCCGGTACCAAAAGACAGACTCTTTCTCCCTCACCCTCTTCTCATCTTTTCTCTCGAACATGCTCGTCCTCGGTTTTCCTTCTTTAGGATGAGCGGTCGTAAGCAGTCCTTATGCATTTACTACATTCTACGGGGCATATGCGTCCATGAACATTGATACGAAACCGTAATGTCTCTTCATAGTTTTCACAGAAAATCTATCCTGTGTTCCCACCGTCGCGCGTCTTTTACAGATCTATGAAATGTGACGAATATTTATTATAACTTCGATAAAAGACTATTAGAAAATAAAATGCAAGTGATGATTAATTGGCACGCATCGGCAATATATATTCAGGTATCTTCCTCTAAATATTAAATTTCTTTTCTAAATCGTGTAATAATAACACGATCAAAATTATTATTATATTTCTTAATTATTGTCAAATAACACTGCATCATTTATTATTATCAGATAAAAGAATCATATTAGTTAACGTTACATAGTTTTATAATATTTGAGCATTTGGTAAAAATGCGTACCGTTAAAGTTTAATCCGTTAACGTTACAGTGTTTCTATCACCGCGTTAAATCTTGAATATCTACTATTTACATCAACGTAATAAAAGAAGAAACCGTTTCTGGATTTATCTCTTTCACTTCGATCTTTTTATTAATTTATCATGAACGATGCACGTGTCATCAAACCTACTTATAACTTTATCGCAAGACCAACTTCGCCACAAACGTACGAGTGTCCACGTTGAAACGAGAATACGCTGCCCGACGGCGAATGTCGGTCACTTTGACGCGTGAATTGCACATTTGTCGGCTTTGCGGTCGAACAACCCTTTCTTCAAATGTCAGGAAAGTGCCGTGCAAATGTACAGGTATCGTTGTTCAAGATTTTCTCCGAACGTCTTTTATATAATATTCCAGGAGAGATCGCTCGTTTCCTTACTGTACTTCTACGATTTGAAAAATACGCGTGCTTCTTTTCAATAAATTAATTAAAAAATCGTAAAGATCTCGTTTAGGCAACAAGTTAGCGATACTGTTACGACTTTATAGATCGTGATGGAGAAATAATTATGACAACGATATTTTGGTGTGTGCAAAAGCAGTCTTCAAATCTGGAAACTGATTTTCAGTTTCTTGCCTAGAATAATTTTCCTCGATCAGTTTTTGGTACAAATGCGATATAAACAGTACCTGCGAAAGTGCATTAGATACTAAGTGGAAATAAATTGAGATATCCTCCGAACCTGCGTACATTTCGAGGCCTATTTTCACCAACTGTCCCATGGCGAATTACGCGATTTGTCACGCGACGACCCTATGTCGCTCTTAATCCTCCGATTTTGAGTCCTGTACGTACGCACACCTCGACGCTCAAACGGAAAGGACCATAGCGAATTAAGAAGCCAAACTTTTTCAGGGATGCCCGGCGTCTTGCTAGCCGTTATTCTAAACGTAACAAAGCGTTGCTAAATGCCATCACGCATTCTACAATGCACGGACTGACAGTGGGATCAGACAATTTTTTCGACCTCGTGAAGAAATGATGAAGTCATAAAGAAAGCACGTGAATAATCAATATTGTTATTTATCAAGTTCTAAAAAAATGTCGTCCTTTAAACTAGCGTCTAAATCTGATACCTTCTTGCAATTTCGTAAAAATTTTCCGTCGCTTTATTCAATAGATTTTTGTTTAATTCTCGAGTTTGCCGTGTGTATTATTCTTTAGTTGGAAAATATTTTACGAATTTGTTTCGTCATATAAGTAAAAATATGTTTTACAAAATATCGCAATTTATATAATCGTTGTTTTATATTCTATATTTTTAAACAATTTTATTAATATTTAAAATTTAGATAAATGTGCAAACGAATGTACGTTTTTAAATATTTAACGATGCATCTGTGAAAAGGAAGCTATCTGTGGTGCGAGTGAATTTATTCTATAAACTATAATAATTTATTACCAATATTTCTTACGCTATGAATTAATGTTTTACGATAAGAACATCGAATGCCTCATTTATCTTGAAACGCTTTCTTATTCTAACATTTTCCATTCGCCGCATGAAATGAGTTACAGCTATTGAACGTATGTTCAGCTCGTGCATCAGATTCACACGAGACTTTCGCGAGACGACGACTCGCGGTCGACTGGACCTTCCGATTCTTACCGTCGCATAGACGGCAATCAGATTACTAACGCCCGTGCTCGACTTAAGCTCGATGAACGAAAGTCAAGAGCTTACAACGGAGTTACACGAGCCACGCCCCGTGACTACAAGGCGAGTCCTCCGCCGTACAAAACGACCGGCTCTCTGTCTTCTCGGGCGACAGGGAAACAGGACAGAAAACGGCGAGATGTGCCGCCCCGTGGCTGGCGCGGGGTTCCAGCTCCCCTTTTCCACAAGTAAATTTGACGTTGGCCAAATAAACACATTGAGGCCGGCTACGTTTGAAGTGGTCCGCGTTGACAGTGGGCGACCCATGAACATCGGCGCGATTGTTCCGCAGCGGGTTGCCGTCGTCGGCACCTTTTGGTGCCGCCGGGCAACCGGAGGCGGTTTCCCTTTCTCCCAGGTGCCCCTTGCGCGCCGCCGGTGACTTCTGGACGTTCCTTTTCGTTTGTAAAAATCGGGGCATCATTCTGCGCGCGTTTCACGAGAGCATCGCGGCGTCTCAAAGGACGCTATTATCGCCATTCGTCCGCTCGTCCACTCGCTCATTCATCCCGCGGTCGCGTTCCTCTTGACGGTCCCCTCCGAGTCTCTCTATCGCCCGCACTTGTCACTCCGGTACTGTGCGAAAAATAGGCGAATAATTCGATCCGCAACGGCCGCCACGGTGTAATTAGAAGTCACCCTCGAAACCTTTCGAATGACCTGTTGTTTCAGAAAAGGATTGTCTCATCCTGTCGAAAAAAGAAAGACTTAAGAACGCCATGTTAAGAAAAATAATTCGAAGTCTGAGATTTCACCAACATTTCAACTTTAATCTCAGTTTAATTTACTATTTGTTTCTTTCTAAGGTTGGGAGGAGACAAAAGAAGCTGCGCTTACAGTTAAGACGTTGGTGGAATCGGGTCTTAAACGTTTGTTGGTTTTTAATGTCTGAGCGTAAATTTAATTCCATTGAATGATCTCCCTACATGGTAGCATTACAAACCTTAAAGCAATTTATATTACAAACCAAAATTTATTTATTTTTATTATTTACTTTTATTATTATCCTGTCTCCTCTCTTTATTTCGAAAACTCAGGTAGCCAAAATTCCTTCCTCTCGTTCCTAAAAAAAAAAAAAAGAAAAAGAATCGTCGGAAGAAGCTTGACAAACTGCAACATAAATATTGAACTATTCTTCAAAAAGCTGGCATCTGTAGAGAAACAAGTGAAAACGTATAACACACAAGAAACTAACAAGACTTTACTTAACAGCGAGTATCGAAAATTCCTGCTCGGTAATGTTTCCAACAATTGCGTTCGGAAATGTCAACAAGCACAAATGCAGTAATATAATATTTATTTCTTGCATAGAATAATACAGACATACACTATGTATGCTCTTAAGTTTTGTTTTATATAGATTGTACACAATATGCACACATTAAAAAAAACCGATGTAACTATTAAAAGTTGTAAATAAAAATGTAATATTCACCTAACACGTAAACTTCATATTTACAAGCGTATGTACTTTCCTGTTTCTAGTGGTGTAATTAAACTGTATTTCAAACTTATTATTAGCATAGAACCTAGCATAGTTCTATGTGAGGGAGCTGAGGGTATTCCTTTCAAGATTTACCGAGCATATAATCGATATAAAATAAAATTCATGAAAACTTTTTCACAAGTGATAATCAAACTTGGACCATATACTACTGGACCGCGCTACTACTATCCCCCACCACCTTGTCCTATTGCTTTGGCTGTTGCCGAGCTGTTACGGGAAGAGGATAGAATCTGATAGTCTTTTGCAATGCAACGGACATGCCTGATCCCATTGTGGTGCGCCCTACAACTCGATAACACCCACACCACCATAAATGCGCGGTATGGTAGTACATGGACCAAGTAATTATATTCTAATTCTAAAATAAGCGATGTTAATTAACAATAAATCAAAGTTTTTTTGTCATAAAAAAATTATACGCAAATACATAATAATTTGATTTAAAATGAAAGAGTCCCACTTGCATTTTGTTATTGGATTTAATGTTTGACAAGCAGAAACATGTGTGTAAATCTCAATAACATTTTGATTACTAAAATTCAACGTGTCACACGTACCATAAATGACGTAACAAATTGACACTAATTTTGTAACTATTATATTTCACATGAGAGTCTTTTGAAGATTGCGTTTACGAAAAATACCTATAATAAAGCGTCAAAGTAAAATCCTGTTACTGCGACGGCTGTGCAGGATGCGTCTTTAGGTGTATGTTCAAAGTAGTTTTATTGATGAAGGCTTTCGAGCAAACTGGACAGGGATGCGCGCGCGACAAGTGATGCTTCAGATGCTCGCTGAATGCCGCGTTGCTCTTGAAAAGCTTCTTACATATGTTACATTTGAGATCTTCCTCGGGTTCGTCCAGATGAGTCCTTGTGTGCGAGTCGACCTCAGCAACATTGTCAAACTGTTTAGAGCACACACGACAACTGAACTTCACCGCTTGAAGAAAGCCCATTTGACTCCCGGTTAAAGGATTCGGTACAGGTATTATGTTGTTGGGCTCACTTGTGATGTTACACGTAAAGCTGTCTTTCTTTCCATGAGAACTTATATGATTCCTGTAACATATTAGAATTACACAAAAATACATAGAGAGAAATACACGTGTAATACATTAATCTTCCATAAGACAAAATCTCAATTGTTTACAATACACCATTATTAAACGATTAACCATTTATGCTATGCGTTTGTAACTTTTTGTATGCTTATAATTGTGCTTTATAAACATAACATTTACAAAATTAAGTTTCTAATTGACCATAACTGGCGATGTGTTTTAAACACAGAAAATTTATTGCGAAAAATATTACCCCAGCCAGGGTTTAAACCTAGACCTCCCTACACTCTAGGCGGGCGTCTCACCAATTCGACCACCGAGGCACATGATATTTGTCGCAATAACAGTATAGATGTTGTCCACGCGTGTATTTTCGACCTTTGTGAACTGCGCACCGATACGAATTGTCGGTTGTACACAGCACTATTTTTCGCAATAAATTTTCTGTGTTTAAAACACATCGCTAGTTATGGTCGATTAGAAGTTTAATCATTGTTAGTCACGTACTGGCGTCAAATAATTTGAAGTTTACAAAATTGTCTCAAAGAAGAATATTCTTTCCATGAAAACGTAAACTCACCTGTAAGCTTGGTCGTTTGTGAAACTAATATTGCAATTCATGCATACATAATCATATTGTTGAGGGACTATTGCAGCCACGGAAGGTGTCGAGACCTGAAGGAAGTTTTGTATACCAATTTTAGGATGTTCTAGCAGGCAGTGCTGCTTAACGCCCTCTTTCGCATCGAATATCTTAAAACACTGATGACACTTGTATGGATACAGCGGGTCGGTGCTAACGTGCAATTTTACATGCTTGTCAAACGCCACTTGTTTGCTACATTCCGTTAGACAGATATCGCACATAAAATGCTTTCTGATGTGCGTGTATAACAATTGCGGGGTAGAAAAAGTCTTGGGACATTTGCTGCACGAGTAGCTCTTGGTTTCCTCCGTCTTGGGAAAGTAGTACTTATCACACAACTCGCATTGAAACGCTAGCTTCGATTGGTATATACATTTTTTCAGCTTGCAGCTACCCTTGGCGCAGGACTGCCTAATGTTCAGTGGCCGAAGTTTCTTTCCCGCACCGCTCTCGCTCCTTAGATCCCTCGTGTCGTTACTGAGCGTTATCGGGGGCGGTATCTTTTTACACTTCGGCGCTGGTTTACTTCGTATTTTATCAATCTGTATTATCAAACGATACGTCTTCAGGCTCCCCAAATTATCTTGCGTTATGGATGTCGATATGGCGGAACCGTTTATAGCTATTACATGATCCATCGACGTGTCTGTTTTACTTTCCGACTTAAGCAAGTCCTCAGTCTGCAATGTAACGTAGAAACATGAATGCAAATGTACCGATGATTAACGTTACGTAAATATACAACGCTGTCGCCAAGGGAAAGATATGCAGTAAAAAAATAAAACATCAGTGTTTTCTTGACCATATCTGGCAATTTTAATACAGAAAATTTATTGTGAAAAACTACCTCAGCCAGGGTTTGAACCTGGACAACCCTACACTCTAGGCGGACGTCTCACCCTGGCTGAGGTAATATTTTTTGCAATAAATTTTCTGTATTATTAAAATTACCAGATATGGTCACAGTGCCGGATATCCGGCAAATATCCGGTATCCGGCCTATCCAGCCCTTTTATTATCCATCCGGATAGCCGGATTTCATTAATATCCGGCTAAGTTTTTATAAAAATTAGACAGGTTGCATCTTTGATATAGGAAATTCAAATCCTCTAGGAACAAATAAACTAATCATTTGTTATTAGATTAGTTCTCTAATGTATGTACGATCTTTTTTGCAAAGGTTTATTTTCAACAATACTTCATCAGTAATGCAAATTCTGTTAACTAAATTTATAATTTTCAGAACGCTATTCGACACAACTGTCTATAATTTTTAATTAAAAGAACTTATTGCGAAAAATATTGTCTCAGCCAGGATCATCTTGGCTGCAGTAATACTTCCCAATAATACGGAACATTTCACTTTAACATTAATAATTATTCCTTTTTTTCAATAAAAGAACTCGAAATGATACTCAATTTTTAAATGACATACATAAAGTGTCAAGCTATTATGTAACATGAGCACAACACATAAAAATGTTACGAAAATAATAACGTATCTGTTTTACGTTAATTTTACATTGGAATAATCGAATTCTGGTAGCACGAGAAAATTTTAACATTTCAACACACGATTTTTTACTGCGTAGGCTTACATTATCCTGCATGGATGGGCTCTGCGGTGGCGTCACCAAAGCATGTGAATGCTCATCCAACTTCCTCTGTTTCGATGGCGTCGTTTGCAACGTGTTCTTCGCTTGTTGCTTTCTCGGTGACTCTGCATAGATATACATACATTGTACATTATTACAAGATCGTACGATAAATTATAAAACTCTTATCATCAGAATAAAGAGACATAGCTTTGGAACAATCTATACATGTTTAGAAACACCTCCATTGTTGAATTAAATAAAAAGAATCAAGTCAAATTAAATTAAATCGTTACTCGGAGAACCAGCAAAGAAAAATTGACACTGCGACAAATGAATTTGCAGGTAGATTCATAGATGCGTTCGTTCCGCGAACAGATTGTCGAACAACAACCATTCAACGTCCAGACAATCGTCGACGGAGAGACGAACGTTGGCTGGGCTCACGCACCTCTTGTTGTACCGAACAGAGTAGGAACGGCGGTGTACTTGAGGTCTCCGGACGTGGAGAAGTGGACTCTCTCAAAGTGGAGCTCGCAGAGGTGCAGCGGTTCCTTATGGCCGGGCAACAGGTCGCAGTTGCGGAGCCATTGATCCTTTTTCCTAATAATCGACATAGAGGACTTTAGTGGTGCGCCAATCGCGCCCAAATCCTTACGGCAAGAGCGGTCACTCACAGATCGTCGTCTGGGAAGGGGAAGAACGCGATCGGGTTGCCGTCTATTCGCGCGCTTGGAACGGAGAGACAGCCGCTGGCCGCACAAGTTATCATCGTACCACGGCGAGGATCCTCGCAGATGTTACCTCGTCACCTGCGGGACATTATATACAAACACCGTTCATAACCTCGAAGTCGCGGCTATCGACGCGCGAGAAACGTGGCTCACAAACGACGCAGAGGGTAAGCCGCGCGCATGGAGAATACATTCCCCATGGAGGACGCACTCCCATATTTTTGCGCCGCCATATTGCGACGAATCAGCCTTGTCCAATAGGCGAACAGTTCGGCGCCACCGTCGCCTTATAGCGTTTTCGACTGGACCAGGGCCCGATTCTTGAATTTATTCGAAGAAGAAACGTATACGAAAATTCTGCTCTGACAGAAAAGTTGAAAGTCGATTGGTTAAAAGCCACGCGATTAACCAATCAACTTACGACTTTTCTGTAAGAGCAGAATTTTCGCATACGTTTCTGCTTTGAACAAATTCAAGAATCGAGCCCCAGGCCCATGGATGTAGGAATACCGGGATGGTGCATATGAGAGGGGTAGTGAAGCCGGAGACGTGGGACGAAAATTGCCAACCAAGATGGCGGCAATGGGTGACCAACTCAGCAAGATAGTATTTATAACCTCATCGCGGGATCTTCTAGGTTAGAAGACGTGCTATACACTCCACGTACGTGGCCGTGTCGGCTCAGTATCTGTGAGCCGGGAGTCAATAACCAGAGAAGAAGAAGATACACTCCACGTCCCAAACCACGAAACCCACGGAACTACACGGAACTACTTCGAATCGCCATTTTAAATTGCCAACCAAGATGGCTGCCGACCAATTTTCCCCTCACTTCTCAGGCTTCACCCCCCTCGCCCAAGATAGTACCTTACGGCTTAAGGCTGAGTTATGATGGCCGTAACTGTTAACTTATGCCAGAACCGGTAAAGTTCGATACTGGGATTTCAATGCTTTCGTTCAAAAACCCATTATGAACGAAAGCATTGAAATCCCAGTATCGAACTTTACCGGTTCTGGCATAAGTTAACAGTTACGGCCATCATAACTCAGCCTTAACACTCCCTCCTCCCTCCAGGTATTCTTACCTACCCTCCAGGCCTAACAGCACAGATGACGGAAAGTCGACTTTCAGTCGACTTTTATAAATCGACTGAAAGTCGACTGTTAAAACTGACGGAAAGTCGACTTTCCGATTAAAAGTCGACGTAAAGTCGACTAAAAGTCGATTAAAAGTCAATTAAAAGTCGACGAAAAGTCGGTGTTTCTGCGGTCATTCGTCAACTTTTGTCGTCATAAAGTCGACTTTCGTCCTAAAAAAAGTCAACTTTTCGCCAAGTCATATTTCGGAATAGTCGACTTTAAGTCAACTTTCCGTCGACTTTTTGCTGTTAAGGTTGTTTGCGGGCTGAAGGCAGTGGGTGGGCTAAAATGGTTTTTATTATTTTCAATACTTGTTTATTAGACCAACTAATATTTAGACTAACTAATATTAGACTAACTAAAATTAGACTAACTAATAAACAGATATTAAAAATAATGAAAACTATTTTTACTTACTGCATGCTTTAAGCTTGCAAATAAGTTTCTTTCGAAACTACGAAAGTAAACATTTTCTTTTCGGTTTCACAATATATATCCAATTTATATTTGGGATTAATTGTATTAGTCATATTATTAATTAAATTTATTCTCTTATATTTCTTTCGTAGTTTCGAAAGAAACTTATTTGCAAGCTAAAAGCAATTATTTTCAATACCTGTTTATTAGTTAGTCAAATATTAGTCTAAATATTAGTTAGTCTATAAACAAGTATTGAAAATAATGAAAACCATTTTTAGCCCACCCACTGCCTTCAGCCCGCAAACAAGTTTCTCTCGAAACTACGAAAGTAAACATTTTCTTCTCGGCCTCACAATATATGTCCAATTTATATTTGGGATTAATTGTATTAGACATATTATTAATTAAATTTATTCTCTTACATTAAACACAAGAAACGAATTCAGCTGATGCATTACGGAACCTACGCAAGTTAGTTACAGGTGGTACCAACTTTGTAAGTAGAAATATAGCTAATTCGGAACGCACCCTTGACTTTGAAGATTTCAGATTGCGCTAATTCATAAAAAAATTTTAAGCGTCTTTTTGAGCCTATAATAATCACTTTTGTGATATTTGTGTAGGTAACTAATGTACATACATATTTCTTATAGTTTATATGTCGCATAAAATTACTTTTTACATTAAACATCTCACATCTTTATTGATATAATAAAATAAAAATGTAAACGTAAATATATAACACACATATAAAAACAAACATATAGTATACACATATGTACAAGTTATACATGTACATCATATATGTATATGTGTAAATTAAGTTTTATAATAGTATACATTGCATCTTATATAATATACTAATTTAATATTAATACACTGTATATAAATCTAACTTCTTATAGATTACATAAATTTAGTGCTGTTGTTATTATATACAATATTACAAAAGTTGTAAAAAAGAGTACAGGAAACAGTTTTATTAAAAATGTGATGTATAACATTTTGAAAATAATATGACAAAATTACGAAACGATAGTATCCAAAGTTCTCCTGTTGCTTCTTCGATCATAAATAAAAGTTGACACGCGTCCCGACCCGTTGATAAGCACTTGAGCAGCAGGAGATACGGTAATGTCTCGTATAGCCTAATCACTCCTGCGGCACTAGTACTTAGGAACAGGACAGGACTTAATTGTTCTTTTCCCATCGAAGCTTCAAAGATCATATACTCTGCAAAAACAAAATATACGGCATAACGTAAAATATAATAAAACGGAAAACAGGAAAAAAGTCTAGTTGAAATTAAAGTTTTATAATTTCTGTAAACAAAATATATACGCGCGTCATAAAAAAAACGTACAATAACAATAAATAAAAATAAATTGTAGCGATCTGTACTTAATAAAGAATAGGGTAAATTTCGAACTACCTTTTCTATGAAATCTGTTAACAAGAGAGTCTTTCAACAGATTCTGCAACGTACATTGTTATATGTATATAAAATGTTTGGACATTACATTTACCATAACTGTTCATGCGATAATGACGGGGGAAAACTTTGTAGGTTTATTTTATGAAATAATAAAAAAACAAGGGAACATGTCACACATGCAATGTTCATGAATTACTGAGTTCCTCCGCCAATTATCTAATCTTACCGGGTATTACCGGCAATATGGACTTATTAGGATTAATTAAGATTCTCTCTTTCTCTCTCTCTCTCTCTCTCTCTCTCTCTCTCTCTCCCCTCGTTTCTCTGGTTCCGTTTTTTCTTCGTTTCTCTCTCCCATTTGACTTCCTTTTATTATATATGCGCGCATATCTCTAAAAGAAATAAAACGAGAAGAGCAAGAGAAATAGGAAAACAGAAAGAAAAATTATTGCTTTTTCTTATGTATAAACTAAAGACTATAAAACTATATAAAGTTATAATTTCTATTACAAATTGCATATAAATGTTGTAATAATATTGTAGTAAATAATATTTTTCGGAGAAGAATTATATAAATAATTGTAATAGGTACTTAAAATTAAATTGAAAGTTTGGTCTCTCACCAAATCTTTGCCGGGGAGAAGCCTGCGAAATTATTCAAAACAATCAACAGCTGGACACCCAGTAGACAGTGATGATGCAATGGCAGACGTACTCTATTAAAACAACCTCGAGAAATCATTAAAGTCGCCCACTGTATTCTCCCTTCTCTGCCAATAGTATTCCTTCTTTTTTTTCACCCTCATTCTCTCGGAGTACTAGAATATATTTCAATTTTCATGTTAATTAATTCTGTTACCTTTATATTATTAAAAATAATATAATAAACATACTAATTAGTTTTACAGTAATGCATCAAACAGTACATAATAAAAGTAATAACAATAATACATGTATCTTGTATGTATATTTAATTATATGTGTGCGTGTACGTTTTAAAAATATTACATATATTTTTCAGCTGTTTGTAAATGCCCGGATATCTTCTTACAATGTGGAAAAGTGAAATTAAGTCAAAGCTTATATTATTACAAAGATGAAAGAGCAAAGAAGTGAGGGTACAATTGAATCTTTGATTTCGCTGCGTTTCGTGTTTGGCGAGCGTGTTTCTCTTTTTATCAAACGTCCTATTCATCATTCATAGCCTAGTTAGAAATCACTCGGGTATCAAGATTGCATAAGATGCAATAATGTGAAAATATATAAATTAAGAAATAATCGAGCTTAGTATAATGAAAAATGAGTGATGAAAAATAAATAAATAAATAAAAAATAATTAACGATAACATGAAAAAATTTCATCTGTTGAAATTGAACATGAAAAATGTGATATAATTCATAAGTTTTGCATGTGCGCGCGATACAGACAAAAAATTTTTCGAATAAAGTTCTAAATATAATAGAATATATTTTATATGTATTTATATGTATGCAAGTCACATGTATATATTCTGAGTGAAACTTTTTATTCTTTTGAAACACATAGGCAAGTGAAGATGATGAAAATGTTAATAAAGCAATGCATGATGTGTTGCTTATTACTTTTTAACATCGTTCGGATTAAACTTTAATCTTCGTTAAAGAGGATTGGAGAAACTGCCATTGCAGATTCAGCTGCAACATCTACCTTATACACACCAATGTACATACAGATTAGCATAATATATCGTTCAGCTTCAATACAAAAAAGACAGAATTGAAAACATCAAACAGAAAGAATATTTAAAGACGCCAAATTAAAATTTTCATACTTTCACTGATTGTGAGATTTTATTTTATCTCATTTAATTTTATTTAATCCAGTTTAGTGGCAGTGTATAACTCTAATATTTAAAGAAAATAATATAACATTTTATGTTTTTGTATTCATTTTTCATGTTTTTTTCGTAATCTTTTTATTCAATAAAGGCCTTCAATTTACTTAAATTTTTTCAGTAATAACGGCACACCCTGTAGACAGAACAGCTGACTTTTTTGGTGTTTGCGGTTGCAATGATACGGAAAGCCAAGAGAAAAAAAAAGAACAGATTCGTCGTGGGATAAAGCAAGAATGAGCCAAAGGGTAGGAGTTGTCAATTAACGTTAATTTCTGCTAATGTCGATGGCTCCTCTGATGTTCGTCAAGCGCTGCACCTTCCCCCTCTTTTAATTTGGAAATAA